CACTGTGTCTTGCAATCTGATTAAAATACAGATCTATATTTCGATTCGGTTTTTTTTTATACTTTCGCTGGCCTACACTACATGAAGATCTGACAAGTTATAGTGGGAGTTCAGGTCAGGGGTCAAACGAGCGGCTTTCGACCCTTTACTAGTTCAAAAACACAGTGACGTTTTGTCAAGAATTAGCCATTCTTTTCTCGATTGCCAAGTACCATTGTGACGATAATAAACGAAGTCTCGATCTATAGTTCTTCAATCTACAGTCTACCTGACTGGCGTCCAGGTTATCGTTCAAGGAAGAAGTGGCGGGCATTATCTAATCCACTCAATATGAAGTTGATAATGGGCTAAATAATAATTAATATAACATTTATAGCCAGCAGAAAGACCTGCAATAGGTAGTTAGGTATATTGAGTTTGAAGGAAATTAATTTCACAGGTAGAAAATAAGACGTGATCGTTTTATCGTAAATTCCGGAAGTTTTAATAAAAATTAAATTATCCCAATTGGGATGTTCACAGAAGATAACCTAAATCACATCTCTGAAACAGGACTAAAACCATCTCTAGAAAATTTTACAGTTTTGGGAATTACCTTCTCGAGAAATTTCGATGATATAGTTAGCATAAATTATACTTCTAAAATTGAGGAAATAAAAAGATTAATTGTAATGTGGTCAAAGAGATTCCTAAGAGTAATAATAGGGAGAATAACAGTAGTGGAAACTATCCTAATACCAAAACTGGTACATCTCTTTAGTAGTTTAACTACTACAAGCCAGGAAGTTACTAAGGAAATCGAGACCATGATTTTTAATTATATCTGGAATGGCAAAACAGATAGAATCTCGAGAAAATTAATAGTACAGGACTATGAAAACGGTGGATTAAGAATGCTAAACTGTTCCATACAAAGTCTTAAATTGTCATGGATAAAAGAAACTCCTTACAGAAAACTTAAACTGGACAAAACTTATAAAAGATATCATGCCTACAAGCCTAGAGAAAATGACATCGTGCGGAGGCGAACTTGTAAAAAAACTTATAATTTATGAAGCTAATAATCAATTTTGGAAAGACGTTTTCAAAGCTCTCTATGACTTTATCCATGCTAGCCAGAAAACAATGAACTCTAAAGAAATAATTAATGAACCCGGGTGACATAATAACAAAATTACAATTTCCAGAAATCCTATCTACTACAAAGAGTGACATGAAAAAGGTATAAGATTTATCTATGACTTCTTAGACGAGGAATGGAATCTAATTAATTTAGCTTGAAAACGTTGAGAGAATACTCTTCGAAACGTCGCCCAAATAAATCAGTAATTGTTCTTCCATAAGTATGTGTTATAGTTTATATATATAGACAAATGGGGTGATTATGAAGCTTTGTTGACTGAATAATCGCTATTAGATAATCCAGACCAATTATTTTGTGGGGGGATCAAGGGTGAAGATGATCATTTATAAGTATCGATTTCTTTATTTATTATTTTATTGATTTAATGTTTCTCCATCTAAGTAATACCCGGCTATGTTATGGCTATGATATGTACATTGTTCAGTATAAAATATATATGCACTCGAAAAAATTGAATGTCACAGCCCCACTTATCCTACTTTGTTTTTTATAAAGTGCTGACCACAGGGCCCCATCCCTAGCAGTACGCCTAATAATTTTGTCTGGGAAAATAAATAAGTTGCCTGAAAAAAAAATATATCGGCTGAAAGCAAAAAGCGGTTTCAATTTGTATTCTCTATATTGTAATTTGAATTTTAAAGATACTAACTTAAACATACATTATGTAAGAGCTAAATCTGCTTATTGTAGGTCTTTCATTAGGAATGAAATGTTATATAAATTATCAGACATTAATTAACTTACCAAAACCATAATCAACTAGATTTGAGTACGTTTTGTTGTGGATGAAATAACCGTTAAAATGGATAACTGTTTATTATCGTAACAAAGGTAGTAATTACGATCGAGACTGGCCCAAAATTGAATCGCTAATATCTAGGTTCAGTGTAAAGCAATTTGTCTAAAATTTTCAGCATATTCTCGTTTCATTATCTATATTTTAACTACTATAGCGAGAACTTTCAGCTCTTTATATAATCTTACCCAATGCCCCTTTAAGTTTTCATCATAAGTGTATTGACTTGAATTTTCATTACTTCAGCCAGTAAAAATAACTTCTCCCCTTTTCTTTATTTTTTTGTATTACACGACATGTACTTCCCAATTCTTCAAATCTTTGTTACCGATCCCCCGTAGCAAATATATCCGTGTTAAAATTGTACTTGGAATTGGAATTGTCCTTTAAATGATTGGTTTGCTTAACTCGACTTTTAAGCTTAAAGTTTCGGTGAAGACGGTCCTCTAAATTTCATACACGGTTTCTTTAAGATAGAGCGCTGTACCTGTGGAAATGTGGACTTAGCGGTTTGTATTGCTGTTGCAAAAATGGCACATGGCCTGGATTGTTTAGTTCTAACTATTTTGTTTGGTCGTTTTCTACTGTCTTTAAGGAGCTGTGACAAATGTTTTAAAGGAACTTAGCCACTTTCAGTTACGTAAGACTAAAGTATTGAATTGGATTGATCTGTGATTAGTGGAAATTTTAACAATCCCCGGATACTTCTTTTATCAATGTTACATATGCAATTCTATACTAGCACGGAGAACGTTCTTGGCCAACACCAGGATCAGTTTACATAATCCTAGTATTAAGAGGAGGATGGCCGACATCACAACATTATAACCCGACACAGGGCCGGCGGAAGCAATTCCTGATTGGGGGGGGGGGGGGGGGGGGCTACCATCCTAGGTTCTTAGGCGAGGGTCCAGGGGCCGCCTAGGCCCCGTGAGCTCTTGGGGATCTAGATCGTCGGAGACGCTTTCTAAGCGATTTCTGGCTGATAAAATTAGTCAGCAATGAAGTGAAATTTTATTTCATTCTTAACTCCTTTACCATAAAAACACAATCTATGGTGGTTTAATCCTGTGATGCTGAACTTGACAAATATATGCATAATGCATGATGAAACTTACAATGTACGTTTATTACCGAAAAATCTCGGTTCCTTTCGATATTGGCGTATATAGGACCGTCACTTCCTTGATTATGGCCGCTGATTTTACGAACCGTGGACTAAGTAGAAGTAAAAGTTTTTATTTGATTGTAAAAAACCATTTAATTATAGCAGGTCAAATTTTTTTATTCAAAATTGACGAGACTTGAAATATAGGTCTATCTCCCAAAGATCTCGGTTTCTTTCGAAATTGGCATGTATTGGACCGTAACGTCATGGATTAAGACCTCTGATTGTACTAAAAATAACATTTTTAGCCTATGGACACTCTATAGGTCACAATTTTCATCCAATTTTGATGAAACTTGAAATGTATGTTTGGTTCCTTTCCATGATCGCGCATTATCTGATTGTAACTTTCTGGATTATAGCCCCTGATTTGTACGAAAAATCGCTTTTTTAGCTTGTGGTTCCTCTAGAGGTTACAATTTTTATCCGATTTAATAGGCATTCGAATATATCACCGTTACACCATAATTACAGTTGAGTTCACATTTCCTGGAAATGAGACCGAGCTGCCCGATCAGTTTAGATCTAAATATTAAGGCCACCTCAAGATTTCGCCAATGTAACGAGATATAAACAAGGCTAGCGCAAACCCAAACCAAAGATCTAGCCCTTACCCTAAATCACAATCCTCTGCAACAATCACATGCCCTAACCCTGTTTACATGTCGTGGCCGTGACGAAATCTGCCAGTAGCTTTAACATTAGGATCTGATCGTAATACCCAGGTTGTAGACCATCCAGCGGTTCGAATTTTGTATCCAATTTTGATGAAAATTTAAAATATATTTTTATATCCCAAAGATCTGGGTTTCTTCGATATTGGCTCGTATTAACCGTAACTTTCTGGATCCTGATCCCCTGATTGTAGGAAAAATCACGTGTTTAGCTTATGGACCCTCTAGAGCTAATAATTTGTGTCTTATTTTCAAAACAGTTCAAATATATCACCGTTACACAATAATTATTTCCGCAAAATCGGACCGAAACTTCCCCGTCAAATAGCCACTCCCCCTTTCGAAAATAGTATAATAAAATCATGTAATACCCAGTTTGTGGACCATCTAGAGGTCACAATTTTATCCGATTTAGATGAAACTTAAAAAGAGTATGATTAGTTCATGGGTGGGTTCCATTTGCTTGCGTATCTGCCCCTGCCTTTTACACAAAATGTTGAAGTTTGTGTACCTTTTACTATGAACTTCAACTGTGTGTTAAGGATCAAAAGTTCTTGGATCAGTTCGACTTTGGTAGTATCAGACCTTACATTCTAGAGCTATAGTCCCTGCTTTTCACGCAAAATCTGAAATATGTATGGATTTTGTAGGCACTGCAGGTGTGTGTGTGTGTGGGGGGGGGGGGTACCATTGTTGTCCCATTCTGATGAACCTAAATATTAGATAACTCTTGTCAGGGATACTCCACCACTACAAATGTCTGGCAATTACATAGCTCTGTCAGGGGTATACCCACCACTAGAAATGTCTGTCAGAGTGTTTTTGTAATGCCTGAAGATGTACGGTACACTGCAGTAAGATTTTCGTGTGGTACACTTTTGAGCTAATTTAGGATAGTTAGGGTTCATGGCGTTTAGGGCGTGGAATACCACACCCACCACCAGAAACCCGGCAGACTTACATTCTGATGATACCAGATATACATACATTGATACCATATAGGAGAAAATTGGTACACTTCTCAGCTAGGTTGACCCCCTGGGCTCCCTTTCTATAAGATATTTTTACGCAACTATACAACATTTTTACTCGACATACATATCAGCCACCATAATTAAATATTTCCCGTTATATCTTTAGATTACAGCTGACTTTGTATTCTTCTTATACACCTACTTTTCATTTCCCGTGTACGACGTTACTTATATCCATTGTCGCCATTTTACAAACACGTCATATTATCTGCGTGTTTTACTGCAGGTTGTCACAAGAACGACCCTGTTTTAAGTAAATGGCTCTACAGCGTTACGTGAGACAGCTCGATCGTACATCCAAGCTATTCGTAAGTTATTACTTACATGTTAGATACTCGCTATGCGATTGAATTAATTTGATAGGATACATTTATATCTAATCCACAGAGTAATTTAATTTAACGGACGACGAGGCCAAAATATTAAAATGAATGGCTGTGCTATCCACATGAACTGGCCATACCTATAGTGCTGTATTTTTATTTACTGCTAGGGTTCGTAATTTATTTCACGGACTAGTTACTCAGATGTGAGGTAAAAACGATGTATGTGCGCCTGCAGTTGGAATTCGATAACACCAACCCAATTTGTTACAAAAATATAGACTTTCAACTGACACTGCCAGTGAAGCAAAAATCACAATTTTTTTGAAATTATTGATACGCCCATTTAGGTTTGATTGATCCAGGTTCTTAGATAGTCGATGTAAAGCAATTATAACATGCTGGATAGTCGAGATTGAGCTATAAATAGAGCATTACGGACTTCTAACCTTTTGATTACAGTAACAACAAGGTAATATTTACTAAGCTCGTAATTAAAATATGTCATGTAAACAGTAGTTGAAATAAATTATCGCTCAGTTGAGACGAAGTGGGGATATTGTGAATAAGGCTAACATTGCACATAGTCTAAAACCGTTCCATATTGTGTTTATTCATGATTGTGTTTTATATTTTGAATAGAGCCTTTATATTATAGTTGGTTTAAGTCGACTTTCGGTTTCGATTTCTTTTCATCGTGAAATGTTTCCTCGTATCTTGTTAAAGAGGCAATATGAACTAATTTATATTCAATCGTTTTTGTTTTTACTGTAATTTGTAACCAAGTATGTTCTGCGAAATACGCGAGGAGTCCAAATTGAACGATAGTCTTTGGCTTCTGGTTATTCCAGTCTACATGGATGGGTAGTATTCTTCTGTGTTAAACCTCGGTCATCGAGCCGCTTTATTACAAATGTCGCCCGAAAGCATTCTGGCACGCGATTTTAGTGACAATTTTAAATTGTTCCCTGTGTCTTAATTAATATTGGATATCAGGAAGCCATCTTTTCACGGTAAGATAACAACATCAATGTTTATTTAAATTCACCAATAAGTCGGGTTTGCAATGTGAAAGACTGTGAAGTATATTGAGTTATACTCAGCTCAGAATGGAGTACTTTGACTGAAATTTTCAACATATTCCCTTTTTATTATCTTTTTTTTAAACTATTTATGTAATTCTAACATAATTCATCTTTAAATAATACGTTGCTGTTTGGATTTAACACACCTACAATTGCGTTTAGTACTTGTGTGGTTCAACTTAAGTACTAGTTTATGAATATGCCCATATATATTATCTATTCAGACAAAGATTTATATATTGAATGGTTTCATGGGGGATAACTCTACTTTCAATTTCTCTTTTCTTGTCATCTCGTGGTGTCCCGTTTTCAGCTGGAAAATATCTATGGTATGTAGGGAAGATACTGTAATATTCTGTGGATCTTTATAGTACTTTCTGTAGGAAATTCTGCAGTAAGTAGCCTATGGGAAGGAATAATAGTTTAAGAATTGGGTCGCTATACTAGTTTACTGTAGGAATGGGTATTTGCGTGAATCCGTGAGCCTAAATTGAATACGTCACACAAAACTATAGTGCCATGTCTGCTTGTCATGTTTGAAAAAATATTTGTCACTCTTTATTCTGTTGTGAGTATGTTGAACTATGAAATGTTTTTCCCCCTATCGCTGAATTTCTTTTTATTTTAATGGTCAGGGGCGAACATAACGATTTTGTTTGGGGGGGGGGGGGCGAGGTGTTTAGCCAAAATTCGACCGACTGATGCATATACTCCCAGTACGAGTGACGCAGTCAGAAGCCGCGCACCACAGGTGGGAGTTTTATAGGGGCCATGTGCAGTATCGGATCTAGAAGCTGGGGATATGGGGTGGGGTGGGGCGGTTCCAAATCTAGGGAGCCATCAACAATGCCACCCCACAATGAATGTCAACAAAATACTGGCTATAACATTAAGCGTCCAAGTAGAACATAGATAGTATTGTATAATTATATAGTTGTTCGCCGATCGTTGTCTCGCTGGAAAGCAATTTTATTTGAGTTGACATAAATATTATGTCATATATGATGATTGTGCCTATAACACAGAGCAACCTGAGAAAATTTTGAAAAATTGAGTCAATATCCTAGCATTTGAGGTCATTGCTGGGAGAAAGTCTTGTGGACAAGAGGACCAGAAATGTGAGTCAATTGGACAGAATCTCGAGATCTGCTCCTGTCAATTCCGCCTGTTTTGCAAGAGTTGACATAACATTTGTTTTGTCTGACGCCCACGACCCACACACCTCACCGTGAATATGATAGTGCTGAGACAGTATAAGATAACAGAGGAATAGAAGAATGATGTTATAACGGAATCGAGCGCCGCGGGCGCGACAAAATTTCAGATATGTAACCGAGCTTTTAAATTTTCGGGACTGGTCCGGAAAATTTTAGTTAATGTCATGGCAAATGGAACCAAATTCTCGTTAATGAGAGTATAAGAAATGGGACAGAATCTTGTGGCCTATCTGTCAATTTCGCCTGTTTTGTGATTGTTTGTTTACCTCATTAATTCATTTAGCCTGAGACCGACTGCGGTGAGTACATTTTTTGAGACCGACTATTTTTTTGCCATAGGGGAAAAACATTTCATAGAACAACATACTCACAACGGAATAAAGAGTGACAAACATTTTTTCAAACATGACAAGCAGACATGGCACTATAGTTTTGTGTGACGTATTCAATTTAGGCTCACGGATTCACGCAAATACTTAGTATTTGAGATCTATTCTGGCATTGTTTACCTCATTAATTCATTGAGTCGCCGATGCATAATTTTGAGACCGACTGCAGTGACTGCACATATTTTGAGACCGACTATTTTTCTCTCTAGAGGATATTTTGTTTTTAGACCAACATACTCACAACAGAATAAGAGTGAAACACAACATTTTTTCAAACATAATAAGTTGACAAGTTTATTTTATACTAAAGTTTTGCGTAAGTAGCGTTACGTATGCAGTGAGCACTTATTTTGATACCGACTGCTCTTATTTTGCGACCGACTGCACTGATTTTGCGACCGACTATTTTTTCTTCCGGGGGGGGGGGGGGGGCATGTACCACCCCCCCCCCCCACACACACACACCTACATATAATTTGATTTAGAGTACGACGGAGTAGTGTAATGAAAAAAATATTCACTTCTTACATCCGACATGTTGTATTTTAAAACTTGTTATGGACGTATTCAAAAAATTTACCGAAAATTACAAAGTATTCTGATTAATATGTAGTTTCCCCCACCCCCACAAAAAACGTCATATGTGCATTTTAGGGTACCCGACGCCCTTAATAACGAATATTAAGATCTCCTATTTCCACAGTATGATGTCAACATCAGTATTGGTTGAAATGGGCCAACGTTGAATTTTAATTTAGAATAATATTGATAATATTGAGTTAGAGGTTTAGTGTAATTGAAGAGAAAAAAAATACCCCCTTTATCTTTGAACAAGTTTTGTGAACAGACTAGACACATTTATAAGACGTTCTTAAGGGTTTTTTTTATTGAACTTCTATTGAAGGTAACTTCCTATACGTGTACATTGTATTTTGATTATAATAACCTTTAGTCATAAAAACCATCAGGTTACAAGAATTCAGTGTCATTTTACATATTCATCATATTTATACATTCCATTAATCAAACAATTCACGATTTAAATTTAACATCAACCTGATTAAAATACAGTTCTATATTTCGTTTAGGTTTTTTTATACTTTCAATGGCCTACACTACATGAAGATCTGACAAGTTATAGTGGGACTTCACGTCAGGGGTCAAACGAACGACTTTTGACCCAATTACTTCAGACATTGATTAATCAATCAGCGTTGACGTTTCTAATGGTTTACCCACAGTTCCGTTCCGTACATCAAAAGGACAAGAACTTGCCGCAACAGACCGTTTCATTGGCTAATCCCTCACATCATCGAGAACACGTCAATGATAACAATTCTTCCAGATCCTAGTGTAGTAAAGACAAGTAAAACGAAATTTTGAACTATAAAAACGAAACGAAATAGGATTTGTGTTTTAATCAGATTGATTTAACATTGATTGATAGTACCTTGAACAGACATTATGCAAGAGCTAAATCTGCCTATTGCGGGTCTTTCTTTAGGCCTGGAATGTTATCTAAATTATTAATTAGTCATTAATTAACTTATCCAGACCATAATCAGTTCTCTCGATGGCATCGCTAGCCTGCGATATTTACTGGATTAGGATCCGATATGCTGCTCAACTTTCATTCATGATTTAATCATGAACTGGATAAACGAGACTATGTTTTTTATCGTAACAACTTTAGTAATGATGATCGAGGCTAGGCCGAAAATTCAATCCCCAAATTGAGAGTGAATTAATTTGACTGAAATTTTCACCAAATCCCCTTTACGTTATCTAGTTTTTAACTATTATAGTCAGAACTGCCAGCTCTTTATCTAATCTCCCATATTTAACACAACCTTAAGCAGTTTTATTCTACAAAATATTATCGGAATTGGCCCTTTAATATAATATTTATACATCTTATTAAGTATTTACACAACTGAACCGAGAAAAATTACAATACATTTTCATTGAATTTACATCTTTTTGATTACCCTAACAAAACATGCAATAATCCATTCATTTTACGTGTGGATGGACATAATGAAATTCGTCTCCTATATTTAAGCTACATATAGATGACATTTTCTTTCATTCAGAATTTAAAATTCATCTAATTTAATGAACTGTTAATGGCGAGTTGTTGACAGTTATTCACGATTGATTTGATGACCTCAACCATATGGTTAGGTATTATATAAATTAAGTACAGATTCCGCTATTGTCATTAAAATTTAACCAAAATGATACCCTACCAACAGTCAGATGGTATTTATAATGAACATTAGTAATAATTTGTCTTTATTTCTTGACTTCTTTTAACAATAATCAATTACCGATTTTATTTTATTTTGGCTTTAAAATTCTACACTGACTGACATCTTTTAGTAGTGTGGGGTGGGACACTTCTGAGAGTAGCAATGTGCATCAAAATTCTATATGAACACTATAAACTGAATTAGAGATCTGTAGTATAGAACATTGTTCCTACATTATTCTGTAGGAGACTATATTATTTGTTAAACTGGTTTAAACCTCTAACTCGCGGATCACGTGGCTAAGTGGGTAAGACGCTGGCTCGCTAGCCTGGAGGTCGGGTGTTCAATCCCTGCAGCGGCCTAGTAATGGCGCTACGGCCTACTCTTATATCGAATTCCAGCTGCCAAGGGATCTTTTACGTGCACGCCAATGTGTACACGAGACCTCGGTTTTCCGTCCCATCCGAACGACTAGACAGCTGTCCTTGCCAGGCCCTCCGTCCTGCATCACTGACAAGGAGAAACCACGCCGAAAAATCGGGATGAACTTTCTCGGCCAATGCAGGGATCGAACACCTGACCTCCAGGCTGAAAGCGAGAATTTCAAATTTTCTAAGAAAGTCATAATTATTTCTATGTCTTTTGCTCAATAGGTTATCAAATCACTATTATACGATCATGGGCATTATTTCCCACCCTTAAAAATCTATGACACAGGAAATAACAACACAATTACCTCCCCTGTTTTGCTATTGATAACATGGGGCAGCCATTTTCCAACGTTGGAATTTGAAGTTAAAAATGATATTTTTGCCAATTTCTCAGCTGGCAATAGCGAATTATAGGATTAATAGGATTATTCTTTAACAAGGTAGGACTGTTTATGGATACCATCTATTTTAAGGCTTTATTTTAATACATTTTAAAAATATAACTTGAAAATTTGCAATTGCAACTTGAAGTAGAAAAGCATACATACATTTACCACAGAATTTCTGTATAAATTAATTTTTGTTGCTTCCTTTCAGTTATAAATAATTGCCACAATGGCAGCTAGCAGTAATAATTTTGAACAGAAATTACCAAATGGGGTTATTGTTTGTGTTGATGATGGTGATATATTTGACAATTCAGCCGATGTTTTGGTCTGTAGTTCCGGAAAATCTGTAAAGAACCAAGGTGCCATTGCGGATCAGCTGAAAACACGAGGGGGAAAGGGCTGCATAAGTTCACTGAATAATCTATACGATGGAAAATACAAACTTGGTGAAGGAGATGTGTATGAAATACACCCAGGAGATTTACAGAAAGATTTTAGTATTATCTATTTGGCAGTAACTGGTCAATATATTGAGCCTATAGGTATAGGCCGATTTAAAATTTATGATCCCTGGGGAGATGATCTGAAAACTTTGTATTCAAAAATACTATCAAAGGCAGACAAGGATGGGAGAAGGTCTATCACTATACCAGTTTTAGGATCAGGTAAAAATCTAGTTATGATTTTACTTAATGTCAAACTACGGTGTTGGATTATTTTAATTTTATTTTGATGTAGTTAGCTGGGGGTCTGGTCATTAGTCCGTTGAGGTATGAGCGCTGGTATTGTGATACTTGACTCAGCTCAGACTTGATATTAAATTTTTGTCAATTACGATTTTAAACGTACAGTCTATATTCCGAATCAAAGTTTTATCCGAATCCGTTTCATTTGAACCAAAGTTGTATCAAACTCCATTCACTTGAAGGATAGTTTGATCAAAATATATTTGCAACACCTTCTGTGATAGACAATAAACCTTCTACAACCTGGTGAATGATTACTTTTTTTTTTATTGAAACTGGAATATACTGTTATTATCCCATTCACATGATGAAGTTTGAAAATATTTAAGGAAGAGTCATTCCGTGCCGGATTCACACACCTCGATGGTTGTGATAGGTGAATGTTTTTTCTCATGTTTAAAAATGCGTTCTGTCAGAGCTAAATCAACCAATTACAGGCCACTGTTCTGGCTTCAGGTAAAACATTCAAAGTGCAACCGGTATAGACTTCTTTCTGTTATAATTACCACAGAGTTCCAGGCGACAAGTGCAAACCCCAAGGCAGGGTGTTAGATATAGGTCATAAGCGTAAGATGTGTGATAGCTGCCAAAGAGTAGGAGGCGGAAGGGGACTCAGTGAATAAGTCACTGGTTCACTAACTAGAAGGTCCTGAGATTGACCCCGGTGTTGGTTGCGAACGTTCCAGGGGATTTTCCAGCGTGATTTCCCCTTATCTGTGGAGCAAGATAGAAGACCAGACAAGAAACAACATCTAGTCATTTAGACGGTATGAAAAATACGAATTTTTATTTCAGGTAGAGCTGGAGGACCTGTTGATATTTGTATAGAAGTCGCCATTGAATGTATCAACAAATTCAAACCGATCAACTTAGTTCATGTTAACATAGTTACCAATACATTCATGACATACAAACAGATCCGTGACGTATTAAAATCAACGGCACCAAAATATTCCACATCGAAATCGGCATCCGCAAGTTCAAAAAAGACCACCAATGATTCTTTATCAGTTGATAAATTTCCAACTACAGATTCCAAGAGAAACAAATCTTATGCTCAAGTCTCCGTTGGACTAAATGATCCAGATATAGACAAATACCACAATATCAAGACAGAAAATAGAAGGACATATAGTCTTAAGAATGGGAAACCAAGTTCATATGTTGAACAGGACTTTGACAGTGAGTCGGTGTCAAACTACAGAAAAATGTCAGATGCCCAGAAAACGGAGAATAGGTCAAATAAACAGAAACCATCATGTGTGGACACATTTTGTAAACATTGTAAAAAGGCTTTCAATGCCCCAAATTGCACCCCGGCTTGTGACCATAGACTTTGCCGTGATTGTGCTGGGTCCAAAGATCCATGTCCGATTTTTCAAGATGATGATGATGTGAAGGAAGATTCCACTTCTCGTAAACAGAAAACTTGTGATCATTGTAAAGACGTTATCAGAGGTCCTGATTGTACTCTGAGGTGTGGCCATATTGCTTGCTCAAAGTGTCAAGCATCAAAGTATTCATGTCTGGATTCTCAAGATAATGGCCCAGAAGTTGACCAATATTTACAAGAATTGTCCTCAAAAGGTGACAGTGACGACAGTGACGACACTGACGTTGAAGATGACCACATTAAGGAAGAAGAAGATGACATTGAAACTTGCGCTATCTGTATGGAAGTACCTTTAATTCCGAAATGTTTGACTAAATGTGGCCATGTTTTTTGTACAGATTGTATTGAGACCCGTTTTAAATTTTACAAACCTGCCTGTCCAACTTGTGGAACAACTTATGGTATTTTGACAGGTAATCAGCCCACCGGAGTCATGGAGATCATGAAATTGTCTACAGGTGTAGAAGGAGAAGAAAGAGCTGGCTGCTATCAGATAAATTATGTTTTTTCGTCTGGCGTTCAAGATGTAAGTACATATAACCAATGTTATAACCAATGATAATCCAAAAGAGTGGGGGCAAACAAAGGGGTGGAGGGGGAGAAGAATGTCACATGCCCCTTCCCTCTCCCCACCTACCCGCAGATAAAATACCAGAGGCTCTTTTCTAAGAACTGTTTTAAAAATAAAACTACCAGTACTTATCTAGGCCTAAATATTGAAATGAAATGGAATAGGTTTTAATGTCCTTATTTTCTGCACAGATGGGACTAATGAAAACAGGCATACTATGTACTATGAAGGAAATTTTGTCCAGACAGTGGCACTACGGCTTACTCTTATTTTCAATGGGGTTTTTTTTATGTGCGATACTAAATGTGTATACAGGATCTCCGTTTTACTTCCAATCCGAACAACTAGACATTATTGGATTGATTCAACCCCTCTATAAAATTTACTGTCCGTGAAGTCCTGAAGATCATACAATAGTACAGATAAATTAATCTTTTTCTTATGGTGTTTATGATTTTATAGGTTTTTAAAAAGAAAAACGTCCGGTCGTTCGGATGGTATGGAAATCCCACGTCATGTGTACATTTTGCTGTACATGTAAAAGTACCCCTGACAGTTTGGAATTCGACGATGATCGGGGGCTAACGGTGGCTGTCCGACCACAATTTCCTCTTAAGAAAAAGCATTTCTGTTGTTGACAAAAAGTACACCTTTTCATTTCGTTGTGCAGTTCGCCGCTGCCCTTTAATATGAAGGAGACCATTTAATTTAACTTTGTTGTTAAGTTGTTTAATTTTTTTAATGATTTGTGTAGGAGAATCATCTAAACCCAGGCATCAGGTATTTACCAACAAGTCGTACAGCCTATTTACCAGCTACAACCGAGGGTAAAAAAGTCTGTAAGATGTTGATAGTTGCATTTAAAAGAAAACTGATTTTTACGGTGGGAAGGTCAAGGACAACCGGACTAGAAGATCGTATAACGTGGAACGATATACTCCATAAAACATCCATGAATGGTGGTCTAGCACAGTAAGTATTGTTGTAGTGTGCAAATCACAAAACATCCATGACAGGCGGTCCGAGGCAGTAATTATATTTGCTATGTGCAGATCACTAAACATCCATGGTAGGCGGTCCAACAGGAAAAAAAATACGAAAAGTACCGACAAAACATCGAGAAATATCGCAATAAGACCGAAAAAGACCTGTATTTCGGGGTTTTCCGGTTCTTTCGGTAATTGGTATTAATATTGTGTGTGAGTGTGTGTGTGTGCGCGCGATGGGTGTGTGTTGGTGGGTGTGTGTGTGTGGAGGGGGGGACTTTTCGGATTGTTTTCGGTGTGTTTCGGTATATAGTACAGTCGTAATTAAATGGGATTAACGCCCGACTGTTTTTCTCCCACTAATCTAATGAAGACGAGCATCCGCCATACAGTCTGCTGTGAGAAAAATTTTGTCCGGACAGTGGCGCGACGGCCTACTCTTATATCGAATTCCAAATTTCAAGGGATATCTTACGTGCACGCCAATGTGGAACGACACCCCTCCTACTCCCCAGAGTAAGTAAAAATGTGATTAATTCATATGTGTAGCTTTGCTTCGTCGAGTGTTCTTTATTGGTAGCTTCGGTTTATCCATTGTTCTGTTTTTCGTATTTGTAGCTTTGGTTATCCAGACCCCACGTATTTGAATCGTGTAATGGAAGAATTAGCCAGTAAAGGAATAACGGAAGATGACATCCGAGATGTTGAACTACGCGATCATGAAGTCATCCATGCTTAAATTATTTAAATATGACTTAATGATCCACGGTAATTGTTTAATCACCATTGAGGTGCTACCAAGAACTGATAACGACAGCAAAGACAACTTTAGAATATGATATTAAAGATGCATTATGTAAGATTTAGATTGTTCAAAAAAGATAGCAAAATGTGAATATATTGTAAATGTCGTTCAAATTACTTTATTCTGAGCGAAGTTATGACTGTTTAAAGATGTAGCGTAAATCATTTATTATCGTAGTAACTATACTGAACAAAGGTAACTAAGTGTCGAATATCCATCTTATCTTACAAATTTTAAATCTTCCGAGATTTCTAATCCATTTAGATCTCTGCCACCCGAGGACTACGAATTTGATTATGGGCTTGTCATGTTAATAACATGTCTAAATAATAGTTTATAATAACATTGGAATCCAAGATAACGACTTGCTATAGGCGGATTTTGCTCTTACCTAATGCATCTTTAAGTGAATGACAGTTTTGTTGCTGCTCCATACCCAAGTCTGTTACCAACTGCTGAGATTGGACGCAGAACTATTAGATACAGTTTTATTTCCACGGGACAACGTGGTCTTTTGCTAGCAGACGTAGTATTGGTTTTTTCAGAAAAGATAGACATAATAATATACTCGTTTGAGCCAGATCCTATTTCGTTTCGTTTTTTTTTATAGTTCAAAATTTTGTTTCACTTGCCTTCGGATTTTGTTGATGTGACGGATTAGCCAATAAAGCTGTCTGTTGTGGCGAGTTCTTGGCGTGCGGTGCACGGAACGATGGCTAGACATTCGCAGCGAGGACAAAACAAACTTTGTATATCCAAATACCCACTTGAAACATCAAAGTTGATAGGTTAATCAAATGTCAGAACCACACCCCCTTTTTAAATAGATGATTTTAGAGTACTTAAACTTTGATTTGATATTCACAAATGGAATACATTGTAATATAATCTTAATCTTTTGTGGCCCGTGGGCTTCCTAAAGTCCATCACGTAATCTAGATCTGCCAGTTTCTATTCGCTTGTTTATTTGTTTATTCTATGGATTTGACATGTAAATACATGTATATAAATGTTGCTTGTTATTTTTATGAGAGGGATATATTGGGGTGGGTTATATGAGTGTATATATTGAAAGGGGGTGGAAGAGACAATACGGGGGATGGGGGAAGTGGTGGCTAAAAACATGTATGCTGTTAATTTGTGTGTGAAGACTGTGGTTATTATAATCTAATATTAAATACAGTTCCGTGCAGAGAATGCAACGACTCTGGGCATCCATACCAGGGGGATATACAATAAATAAGTGAAATTAAAGATACATTATGTAAGATTTAGGTAAAGAGTTAGCCATTCTTGCTATAATAGTTCGAAATCAGATAAAATAAAATGAATAAGTTGAAAATTCCATTCAAATTACTTTATTTCGAGCGAAAATATCAGCCTTTGAATGTTTGACAAGACGTGCAATAATTTCCTCTATTTTTTAAATTAAATCAAAAATTTGCTGAACCGTTTTAATCTATTTAATATCGCAGAAATCCGATACCATCGAGAGTTGATTATGGCCGGGGTCAGTTAATTAATGTTTAATTAATAATTTATAAAACATTATAGGCCTAAAGAAAGACCTGCAATAGGCAGATTTAGCTCTTGCATAATGTATGTTTAAATGGCGTATATACATCTCGATATTAATTCACAGACTTCGACATTACATACACGAAATATCGGCTCATTACACTCATTACTGATGTTGTTATCTTACCGTGAAAATATGGGCTCCTGATATCCAATATGTAGAACACGGTGAACAATTTTAAAGGCAGTAGGCCTACACACCCGATTGTAGGCCACACACAAATATACACATATTATAATTTAGGCATGGCTCTGCCTCTGGGGGTTGGATATGCACAAAAGTAATGGGGGTGATGCTTATGGTATAAGGAATAAGTATTTAAAGTTTCCAATCTGATTAAAATACAGATCTATATTTCGTTTCGTTTTTTATACTTTCGATGGCGAACACTAAATGAAGATCTGACCATTTCTTTTGTGGGGTCGCGTCAGGTCATACGGGCGACTTTTGACCCTATGACATCAGATATTTGATTAACCAATCAGCATTGATATTTCTAGTGGATTACCCATAGTTCCGTGCAGCTCACGCCAAAAGCTCGCCGTAACAGACCGTTTCATTGGCTAATCCATCACATCATCCAGAACACGTCAATGATAACAACTCTTCCATATCCTAGTGTAGTAAAGACAAGTAAATTGAAATTTTGAACTATAAAAAACGAAATAAAATCTGTGTTTTAATCAGATTGCAAAGTTTCAAGACGATCCGTTAAGACATGCGGTCATTAGGCGACAAACAGACACAATAAATGGTCTAGCCCCCCCCCCCTCTCCCGGGGGATAAGGCATGCGCCAAACAAATAGGGATCATCTGTAGGGTATAAGGAATAAGTATTCGCTGTTTCAAGACGACCAGTTAGGAATTGCACCATCCATGAAGGCGACACACAAACACAACCAAAAACACAGACAGGGGCGACGGCATAATACGTCCACATTATTATGAATGCGGACGTATAAAAAGGAGTTGTTTACCTTGAATGGCATGAACAAGCCGTTCGTTTAAACAGGGATTAAAATAAAATTTCTTACCGCTGCTTGACTATATATTACAGTCACATAGTCAAGCAATAGTAAGAAGTTTTGAAATGAAATGAAATGAAATGAAATGGGGTTTAACGTCCTACTGTTCTGCTCCTATACTGGGCTAATGAAGACGGACATACGCCATACAGTGTGTTATGAGGGAAATTTTGCCCGGGCAGCTGCACTATCGCCTACTCTTATATCGAATTCCAACTGCCAAGGGATCTTTTACGTGCATTCAAATATATATGTTACAGTCAATGTCTACAATCAGGCAATGTGTACAATGCCTGAAATAACCAGTCAATGTGTACATTGCCTAATGGGGCCAGTCATTGTGTACATTGCCTAAAATTTCCAGCTACGTGCGAGGGAATAATTATTGAGATAGGATCATATTCATCCCGTGGTGTAATATTATGGCAGTATATTAGACTCAAAATTCTAACATGCTATCGTCTAAGACATGGCCTAGTAACGAAATGGCCTAGTTTGCGTCGAGTGTCGTTGAACCCCATCTGTTTGACTTTCATGCTTAACATGTAAAGCGACAACAATAATAGAAATAAGATGAAACAGAATTAAAATTTACACTGGACAAAAAAAGAAGTTGTATTATACATTGTCTTAATTTAGAAATTACATGAATAGAAGTTAGAAATTACATGAATAGAAGTTAGAAATTAGACGATAGCATGTTAGAATTTTGAGTCTAATATACTGTCATACTATATTATGTAGGACGCTAAATATTGTTAATTGTTTACACGACTATTTTTAGTAATCGACGTTTAAATCAAAGCAGAGATATCGCATTTAACATCAAAAGGTTTCAATTGAAAAGAAATGTGTCTGTGCGTCACACCCGCTAAGGTAATAAAATCGGATTTCGTCGCCAATATAATTAATTATTGCTAACCTTAAGGCGCATATTCGTGCTGGTTTTTATTCAGAGATATCGCCCCTCATGGTGTCAAAGCGTTGCATATGAAATGAAATGTGCTGCACCAACCCTTGTCATTCAGTGAATTAAGCAATCCTTCAGTCACAGAAAATTGGAAGCCCTATGTTTTCGACATCATCGAAGCACCGAATCAATAAATAACTCCCCGACAGATTATTAACACCCGGCTATTGTTATTATATGTTGGGCCGTTTGAGGGGGAAGGGGTAATATTGTGATAAACAGAAAACGCGGATCGTGTGCAAAGCTTTAGAAGTCAAGCTATACCCCTTTCTAAAGAGTATCGCGGGGAGAGAGAGAGAGGGAGAGAGAGAGAGAGAGAGAGAGAGAGAGAGAACTGGGGTTTAACGTCCACTCGACACAAACTAGGTCATTTCGGGACTAACATATGGTTTAATTTTATTTCAATAATTCGCTTGCGCTTAGGGGTATTTAGCAGTGGGAGGAAACCGGAGGACTCGGAGAAAACCCACGAGGTTGGATAGGCGACCCTACTCCTTGTCATGTACAACCGGGGATTCGAAACCACGCCGATTGACTCAATGACATGCCTTATGATACAGCGCGCACGTGCTAACTATTCGGCCATCCAACCCCCCTAGTATCGCGGGGAGGCGGTTGCAGCAAAAAGGGGGCGGGGCGCGCATGGTTTTGAACGCGTTTTACTGTTGATATTGTATACAATTATATCCCGAGCTGTCAGTAAAGGCATCCTTTTCAACGGGGGTCATGAAGTTCAATTGGATTTATTTTTTAGTAAGGGTCCTGAAGTTGCATGAATTTTATTGATCATTCTTGAATGATGAGTATTTGTAACCTTATGCAGCTTTTCAAGGGACACCGAAGACGAGAAGTAGAATTAAGGCAATGTTTAAAGTAGCTAATTCTCTAACTCAATATCATCCAAAATCTTCGACATTGAAAACACGAATTATTTGTCAATTTAAAGTAGCTAAGTCCGTAACTCAATATCATCCAAAATCTTCGACATTGAAAACACGAATTTTTTTGCAATTTTAATCAGCATTGATGTTGTGATCTTACCTGGAAAAGATAGGCTTCTGATATCCAATAATTAAGACAAAATAAACATTTTACCATTGGTACACGAATCGTGTACCGTAATGCGTTTCAGAGCCATTTGTAACAAGGTGCTCAAAGAATGAGGCTAGACATATTCCACAAGTCATGTCAAACGGTGATATCATATTCTTATTTGGAGAGTATGCACAATAAATAATATCGGTGTTGACTGGAATAACCAGACGCTAGAAACTGACTTGCGGTTTAGACTTCTGGCGTATTTCGCCGAACATAACTGATGACAATTCACAGTAAAATGGACACGATTGAATGTAAAACAGTTTATATAAATTCATATTACATTATTATATGTGTTGCGACTCATTTGTGCCAATTTCTAGGTCCAAAATATTAGCGATTTAGGTCCTTTAAATCAACATGGATGTTGTGACCTTACGGGGAAAAGATGGACTTCTGATATCCAATAATTAAGACAAAATAAACATTTTACCGTTGGTATACCATGGTGCATTTCAGCGCCGTTTTTAACAAGGGACGCGTAAGGGGCTAGAAATATCCACAAGTCATGTCAAACGATGACGCCATATTCTTATCTGGAGAGCATGCATAAATAAATACTATCGGTATAGAGTGGAATAACCAAACGCTAGAGATTGCCATTCGATTGAGACTTCTGATTAGAAATTGCAGTAAAAACAGAAACGATTGAATGTAAATCAGTTTATATACATTCACATCACATTATTATATGCGTTGCGACCCATTTGTGTCAATTTCTCGATCCAAAATATTAGCGATTTAGCTCCTTTAAAGAAAAATAGGCTGGAGGTCATTGTTGATAATAAACACAATAGTGTGCAGGGTTTACATCTTGGTTGAAATAAATACGACCTTTTTTCTCTCCCAGTGATGGTTATTTTAGAAATGTTCCAGCAGCGTAGTTTAACAATGTCACCCTCTCCAGCTCTCTAGATATAAACTATAACACATACTTATGGAAGAACAATTATCAATTTATTTAGGCGACGTTTCGAAGAGTATTCTCTCAACGTTTTCACGTGTACACATTGGAGTGCACGTAAAAGATTCCTTGGCAGTTGGAATTTGGGAGAAATGCCCCCCATAGCACAATGTATGGTGTATGCCCATCTTCATTAGCCCAGTCGGAACAGAATTACAGTAGGACGTTAAACCCCATTTCATTTTATTTTCATTGCTTTTTATTTTCATTGCTTTTTTGTATAAATTGTATACTCTAAAGTATAAATCTAAAGTGTGTACAGTGATCATTGGATAGGCATAGTTCACACCAAGTGCATGACCCCGCCCCTTGCTTTATTCATAACATAAAAAGGGTATTTTCTGTTCATGTCGTATTTATTTAAAAACATATAATCCT